ATTCTGACGGCACCCATTCACTGCAGAGCAGCCATTGCTGAGCAAGTGATGCAATGCTTCAAATACTCATTCAGAAACTCATCGACATCTTGAATGGCTTCAGAGTGAGTATTTTTTTATTCATTATTTTTTTGGGTGACCTAATCCTTTACAGGTGAAATCATGAAGAGGTGAGCATCATAATGCATTATAAATGAATTCCAAATGATTTTTGACTAGATATATAATGCATTGAAATATGTATTATAAGGCATTATAGTGAATTATTTGTGCTTGTGAATACATTGTGATTATGAAAATCATAGGTATATGAATGACAGGGGTAAACCATGTTTCTCATTCTACGCTATGAGAGCTGAATTACATAACAGTGATCGATACCCTTGAGCTCACAGGAGTCCCTGCATCAGCAGCACTGCAGTCAGGCAGTCGCGACACTGCGGTAATGTGAAACCTTCAGCATGGACTCACAGCTCCACACGTCAGTAGGGATGCATGTGTCTTCATCCGTCACAGGCAGCGTGTTGTGGTGCTGATGCTGAGCACACTGTGTGCTTGTACAGATGCGCTCACTGCAGCACAGACCGCAGCATCACAGACACACGGACACACACAGGTGAGCCTTTCATGCTGCTTCGTTTCATAACTGCTGGGTAAAACTGTCTATGTTTGCATGCACTTTACATTATACAGGATTGTCTATGTTGCACATATGCAGTGTTATAATTAATTGCAATATGAATAACTGTTTAATCAGGAATATGTTGCGTATTTCAATTATATGTTATATCTAGATGTTTTATGTTAATTATATGTGTTAATTTGTTTGCTATCAATTAGGATTGTTTATCAGTGTTGCAATGTTGGTCACACTTACTGTGTATTTCATTGGTTGAAGTAGAGCTGGTTCAATATTGTCATTGCTATAGTAATTATAATAATGAATACAAAATAAATGAAAATGTATTTTAAATATATTTCAGAATATACAAATTTTTTTAGGCATTTAAAAATTAATTCTGTCCTCCATATATTTCAATCCAAGGAAACATTTACATATGTAACATTTGAAGAAAACCTTTTGTTTTCTATAATACTTTGTTTGTTATTGATAACAAATTTTATTTGTTGAACATATAACACATTTAAATCATGCATAAAGCCTAATTATAAGCTTCTGGTT